GTTGCCCCGGGCTCCCAGCTGAAGCGTCTTTCCGCCCTCACCTCCTCGCACTCGAAGCCGCTGACCATGAAGGTGTCGCAGTCCCTGCACTTGGATGGTCCCCGCAGCTTGCGGAGCCGGTGGGTCTGCGCCGCGCTGGAGAGGGGCGTGTTCCTGAACTGCTGCTGGGACGGGCCGTTTTCTGCAGAAACCGCAGTTAAAGTGCGAAAAGGAACCGGGCCCCAAGTGCGGTTTCTGCCTAGGGAGTCAAATCGGCGCGTGCGGCTCACCGTTCTCGAAAGCTTGCAGGGAATCCCTCTCTTCGAAGTCGTCCAAGGAGGACACGGTGCCGGTGGAGGGAGCTTTCAACAGCCTCCTGTCAGAGTTGCCTGGGGAAGAAAGCACAGACTCAGCCTCATGACGCACAAGGTGGGTCAGGGTAGGTTTTATGCCTGATTTGGGGTGATGTCAGGCAAGAATTTCTGCAGCTCTCACCTGGGCTGGAGGTGGGAGAGTCCAAGGACCGGGACTCACAGCTCCCACCGAGGCTTTCCGTGTCGCTGCAGAGGGACCTGCTGGTACCTGGGGAAGGTGCACACAGTGAGCGTCCCGCGGCCAAACCCAGCTCCTGAGAGAATCCCCGTTGGAGTTTTCTCCCAGTCTGACTGAAGCCTTCAGCACCTCCCTGGGAGCCTCAGAACATCTCCCACCTCTTTGGCTGCTCATCTCAATTCAACCCGATGGGAAAATCGCGTTGCCCTTATCAAATGGAACCTACTCTGCCCTCCGGAAGTGAGCGGCTCGAACTCGAACGCTTCCGTCTGAATGTCCTTCTTCTGCAGAGCCTGGATGAACTCCAGGTACTTCTCGCCTGCCTTGTAGGGCTTGCAGATCTCGGCCAGGTACTGGTATCCTACTGGAATCTGTTCGGACTGAGCCTGCCGCTGCTTGAACATCCTTAAAGTGACCTTGCAGGGGGAAGAAAACACAAAAACCCAACTTTGCTAGACAGAGCCCGGGTGCTTCTTCCTCCCTTGGACCTCACGGTCATTCACCAGCCTTCAGCTTCTCGTTCCCTGCGCTCCTGCTATCAATAGTTCTACGGAACAGATCGGACAAAAAGGATTTGTCACGGTTTCTTGTTCTAGGTTATTCTCCCCTTAGACTTTTTTTCCTCTGGATATCTGCATGCTCAAAGCAGCGGGAACTGGAAATGCTATTACATAGCTGAGATTTTGCGGTAGCGAAGCAACGTCCTGCGCGCTCCCCTAATTCTGACCGCTTGAGAATGGTCGCGGTGAAATGATGAAGAGCCTGGCGGCCTCACCCCAAACAGCATTTTCCCCAAAACGACAATCTGAGGAGAAATTACGAGAGTCCACGTACCCACGTCAGCACCTCATCCCCTTGGTAGATGAGCTTGCGGATGTGCGACACGATCCGCGCTCGCACTTTCTCCAGCTCTTGCCGCCGAAAGTTGGCGTCACTGATGCACGTCTTGTACAAAGCTTCCGACTCCTGGACCTGGAACGGAGCGGAGGAGGAAAAAAGTCACCGGGGGGGAGTGGGAAGATACATCGAGGCCGGGAATTGCCTCTCTGAGCTTCCTCGCCTTGGCTTGCGCCTCCTCGCCCGTCGTTTCTCCAGCTGCTTGTTGGCCCTGCCGGGGTTGGCGACGCTCTGCTGGAGCTCATCCTCTGCCCGGGCACTCAGCTGCTTCGCCTTCTCCAGCTCCTCGCAGCGCTGGACGTATTGCAGGCGGGATTTGCGCAGGGACGACAAGGATTCGTTCTGGAGTCGGGGCCAAAAAGGAACAGGGGGTGGGAGGGACGAGTCACGGCCACCCGGTCCATGGGAGGTGTCCGTGGGTTGGAACGAGATCATAGAGTCCTGGAGTGATTTGGGTTGGAAGGGACCGCGCCACCCAACTTTGTGTCGTCGGCCAACTTGGCGCCGAGGGATGATTTTTGAGCCCTTCCCACCCAGAAATTAGACAGCCGAGCACCTGGCCCTTGGTTCAGACAGCTGCCGATCCCAGCAGACATCAGAATCCGCTGCGTTAGCACCCTGCCTTGTAAGCTCGAGAAAAGTATTTTTATTCCGTGGCGGGGTGGATATTACTTTATTTAGTCACTGCTTGTTCCACCTTTTCGGTGTTTTGAGCCGTGACTGGCAGAAAAGTTGCACCTCTTACCATTCTCTTTTGCTCCTTGCTCCACTGATCTTTGAATTCTTTCCTCCATTTCTCGATTTCGTTCTTCTTGGCTGACAGAGGCTGCCAAGGAAATGAAAAATTAGGACGGTGACCGCCCCGGGAGGAACAGGGTGTCAGGCAGCCGAGGGCCTGACAAGCGTCGAAGATGCCGCTTTTCCCCTTAAATCGGGAACTTGGACTTCCCTTATTTCATCCCCGTGGACCAGGTCAATGGCTTTGTCAGCTCTCCACGATGCTCACGTCAAACCTTCCCACCAAATCGCCCAACGGAGCACGGTACCTGGTAAAATTCCTTCTGCTGGAGCAGCCCCGCGGTCTCGGCGGCCGAGTTTCCCATTTTTATATCGTGTTCCAGGACCAGCGTGTAGAGCGCCCGAAGAGGCATGTTGTGCTGCAGCAACAGAAAAATAAACCACCAACCCCCCCCAAATAAACCTACGGATAATCACGGCAGCTTTCCTAAACGAGCGAGGCTGAGGTCATCTGCGGGAAGGGTTTGAACGCGGTGGGGGTTGTTTCTGTGGAGCCCTACCTGGTGGATGATGGCGTTTCGTCCCGATTCAGCGATCTTCACCATCCCTTTGGCAAATTCTGTCTCTGTAACAGGGCAGAGCGGGTCAGGCGCCAGCCTAGAGGTCGCTCCCGTCCATTAGGACGGCTTGGGGGAAGGAGAGATTCTGCCACCGTGTCTTTATCTTGGCGCCTAAGCGACTCAAAGGGTTGGTGTTCGGCCGGTTGCGTCCCCGGCTGTGATTTTTTTTAGTTTAAAAAAATAAAAATGGAAAAAGGGATGGACCCACCGTAACTCAGGCGTTTCTCGATCCAGGCGAGCAGCTCTTTAACGTATTTACACCACGTCTTGGCGTATTCAAGGGCTGCCTCGATGCCGCCCTCGCACCTGATCAGCATTTCGTCCGCCTCCTGAGCTGCAACGGGAGAAATCCAGGTTCGGAACAGGCAGAGGCTCCCCCCAAGCAGCAAAACCCCGGATAACCGCCCCCAAAAAAGGCCTTTCACTGAAAAAACATCATCGGGATCTGCTTCACGGTGACCCCGCACAGTCCTGCCCCCACAACCACTTTAATTTGTTTCAAAGGGCGAAAGCGAGTGACTCTGTGAGCTCTTGGGGAGCTGCAGGAAGGATTTGTGTCCCTTGGCGGAACTGGGGCGGATCCGTGTCACCACAGGGAACACATATGAAACCATTTCAGGCTGGAATCTGTGAGAAATTAGAAATTTTACGTATTTTTTTCTTCCTAGGGACTCCATATTACCTGTTAGGTCGGCCTGCGCTTGCCCCTCAGAGCTGGTTTTGCTCTTGCAGAAGCTTTCACTCGGCTGGGGGAAATTAAAAAAAAAACAAAAAAGAGGAAAATGGTGAAAGAGAAATGAGCATTGAGGAATTTGGGGGTTTTTTCCAAAAGGCTGCCTGGAGATTGTCTGCAAATTGCACATCTTGTTCTTCAGAAAAATATAAATCCAAACGGTAAATAATGGAGAATTTAAAACCATAAGATTCACTAATGTAAAATTTTAAAATGTAGAGTTTAACAGCGTAGAATCCTGCCCTTTGGCAGCGGCCATGGATAATTCCGTCAAAGAAATGGGTCTCATTCTTTGCCTACCGGCACCACCTCTCTCTCCGCAGTCAGGTCCGTGTCATCAGGGCTCTCCCCATCCCCAACGAACATATCAACCGCCCTGAATAATTAAAAAAAAATCAACAAACAATGAAATAAATTGAGATTCCAATGACCCAGAAAACTCGTTCCACCCCGGTTCTCTACGTACGCATTCCCAATGGAGATTTCTAGGGCGTCCAGGCTCCGGAATATCTCGCTGTAGCGCTTCTTATTTTCAGGGACCCTCCCTGGAGTGGTGGGACCTGGTGATGGAGAAGAAATCGTTTCAGCCGAGTGACCCCGAGGAGACGGAGCCAGGGGATTCGCGGGGAAGCGACAGACGGTGACCACCCGGCAAAGCGCGGCAAAGGGTTCAAAGGAAATCTTTGGGAGTAGTGAATTTGAGGTTCCTTGAGCAGAACCCCCCCCAAGAAATGGGTTTGCAGGTGGTCGAAGCTGGTTTGGGGGCTCTCGTGCGGAAGTCGCCCATTCCTGGCGCGTGTCGCAACCTCGGCCGCGCGAGGGACGGTTTCTCGACATCACGCAGCCAATTGATGTTGCGAAACGTCTCGTCCGCTCCAACAGCGGGGCGGGCAAAATACGAAACAGGCTGATCCCCGCTCGAGGGGCGATGCCCTCCCACCCCACGGCCCCGTGGCAGCCAGAGAAGGGCCACAAAGCCGGCGAACAAGTCCCCACCCGCGTAAGCGCGGTGCTCAGCGCCGCGGTTTTGTGGTGGAGCTGGCGTTGCTTGGTTAACAGTTGGATCTGATGAGTTTCAAGGTCTTTTCCAACCCACATGGTTCTGTGGTTCTACGTTCCACCCCTGGTTTCGCGCATTGCAGGGCG